GGAATCAAATGAAGATGACAGCACAGACCTACAGAGCAGACCCACAAATACAATTTTGAAAAGCCCGTTATTATCACAACCATTTTCTTTTCCAGCCATCACCAATACCACCTAACTAGCAAACTACTGCTAAATGCAATGAGCATGGATTCAGAGCTTCAAAACTACATATTGGGGTGACAGTAACTCCATGCTGAACAGGGAGTAGCTATCCTCCTTGCACTGGTCCTGCATCACCTCCCAAGAGGTCAGTAGCCAGTTCCAACTGCATGAACAGCTAATTTTACAGCTAGCTTCATACAGTACAAAATCTCCTAGAGCTCTTAAACTACAAAAACTCTCAATATATATACAGAGCCCCTATAGTTCTTAAAGAATAAAATCTATTTCTGCCAAACGAAAATCTAGAACTTTAAGAGCTGGAAGAGAAAATAAACTGGAGAAAATAGTCACTGTAAGTATTTAATTAAAGACCTTTTCAGATAAAAACCTTAAGAACATGGATCCAGTTCTAATTCTGCCACAGATATCCTGTATAATTATGGTCTAAACATGTAATATTTTACTACCAAAATTCCTCATCTACAGGATGGCATGACAATACACTTAGCCATGTACACTGCTAATTATTTACAGCAAAATTTAGATATCTCTAATTATCGTACTTAGATATGGAGAGAGATACAGGTGTAACATTATCTAGCGCAACCCAAATTCGTGAGTTTGCTTTCCATAGGTGATATTATAACACATTTCTCTAAATGAGAGACATAAGAAAGCACCTGAGATGTGAGCATCTAGAAGTCTGAATCCCGAAGACTTGCACTGAATAATTTGTGTTCTGACTCCAGTCAGGACCTCTTTAGAAACAGGCACAAGAAGGAAAGACTCATTGCCAACAAAACAGAAGGTTTTAATGGTGCTAAAATATATCCCCTTCTGACACAGTCAAAAGGGACGGCATGATGTACAGATCACAGCTTGTTGCAACATTTCAGGTATGAAGAAATGTGGGAAGTCTTAATCTTTATCAAGCAAACCTCAGTGTTGCTGAATTTTTATTGTTTAAGCAACAAACAAAAACCCCTAATACCAAAATCTTCAAAAACAAGTAGAAAGCAACTGGAATTTATCTGCAGCCACCATAGTAGTGAGTCATTGCTGGCAAACTTGTATAACTATTTCAACAGCAGGCCTGTCTCAAATGACCTCAGTGGTCACACAGAATATCTTGTGCCACAAACACAGGCATTTTTCTCTTTTTTGATTTAATGGCGCTTTCATTATCAAATTAAAATGTCACTCAGATGCCCATCATGGTGTTTCAGCAAAAGAATAGCAGACTGAAACCCTCCTGCATGTGAGCTGCCCAGAATGCCAATCGCTGCACGCTGCTGGGGGAGCTGTCAGTACAAACCCCATAAAGATACTCAGAGCTGTTAATGCCCCAGGGCTGAGCTGTTAACATTTCTTGGATGTGATGAAGTTCAGGATCCAGAGTGCCAGAGGCAGAACAGATCTCTAAGCCAACTGTAGCTGCCATCTCGTATCATTCAATGTTTGCTCGTCTCCTTTCTCCTAGCTGCATTTTGAGTCAGCAGGGTACACAAAACTAGAAAGGGGCACTCTACATTTTAAATCCATCTAGGGACACATTCTGCTTGTTCAATTTCTTCGAAATACACACGGCACACTGTCACTGCCAGCATGCACACAATGATAAGCCTCTACTAGGTGTAACTCAAAGCAAAACATTTAGAGCAAGGCTGGATACAGACTTGCTGTTTACCACTCTGCTACCACATAAAGATATCCAAGTTAACATCATTTTAAATATATACATTTGCTTTGTAGGGTTTTTTTTTTTCTGCAAGATTCACAGATCTTGCAGAGATCGGTCTTCCATAAATCATGATGCAAAACAACCTGCATGAAGCATCCCATAGAGAACTATCACACTGTTAGTAGGCACATGGTTCTGTAATTTAAAAAAAAAACACACGCAGAACTGCAGTATATAAATGAGCATTTCCTTTGTGTTTGATGACAATGTACCTACTACACTGCTGCATATATTGCTGCTGCTCTGATGATGTTTCTTATTTCCAAAAGGGAGATGCAATGGAGCTAAAAGCACATCCTGCAAACGCCACCTGCCATGGGGTACTGCCTTACAAGAGCTTATGTTTGATTCTCCTTTTGTAATCCTGAATGCTGCTTACAGTACATGGGCCAAGAACTATGCACCAAACCAAACAATATTACTTTCTTAGTGCTTTAGAAGCCAGTAAATAGCTTCATGTCACTAGCCCCACTATTGCACCTGGACTCCTAGGTTATCCCAACCACACAAGGCTGCTATGGTAAACAGCCAGGGCTGCCATGACTGGAACAGCAGAAAGAAGCAAATCTCCTATATATCTTCCAGGTCTAGGCACATTATTCCAGCTCCTGATTCTCATGCTCATGCTGACTGAGGTGTCAAAGAGCTAATGGAGAGAGCAGAAAAAATGTAATTAGATGACACTGCGGACCCTTTAAATTTTGCTCAGATTTCGGCAGGAAAAACCCAGTAAGATAAGAAATTTATCCAGAATAAATGAGAAAAACAAATCATAGTCAGTAACTGTAAACATCTGCAGTTTTTAAACAAGTGCCTGCATGAGGGTGAAGTTAAAGGGAAGTAATTGGCTTATTCCACTAAAGAGAAAATGCACTCTTGCTTTTTTTCCCCCTGACTTTTCTCCTATGAGACTAGCACACATCCTGAATTCTTAAGATTTTCTGTGCTTCTCTACACTGTTATGTGGACATCAATCTTAACAAAATTTCACAATTTGGATGACTTAAAAATCCAGCTGCTTTCAGAGGATTTAGAAGAAGTAACAAGATTTTTCCTTCTGCTTGCATTTGGCAGACGTGTGTCTTCTTTTCATCTCAAACATGAAAACGTCACCATGGTTAATTCCTTCATCATGTCTTGATCAAGGACAGCATGTCATCCTCATAAGACTGGAATCTAAACCCCTTTAAAAAAAGAAATTAGTAATACAACTCAAGTGTTTAGACTACTAAAGAAAACATCTGCAACTAAGATCATGTAATTGAATGTTACAAAATCTACTTTCAGAGACAGATTTTGCTGCTTTGCCTTTCATATGGAATTTAAATTGTGGATCGTAAAAATTGAAAAGCTTCATCTGCATGAGACCATCTTATCTGAGGACTGATGTCTCTTGCTGTTACTCTTGCACAACAAATATATGCCCTGATACATTTGTTAAACAAGGAAAAGGAGTTCTTTGACAATGAACTATCTAGATTGACCCTAACCTTGGGGTTTCTTTCTCTTTGGTTCAAAATAACCTGAGTCTTATACCTACAAAGCAGCTCTACAAAGTGTATGTCATGATACATGAAGAATGAATAGGAGATGTGATGAGAACATGAAATGAAAGGCACATAAAACAGACTAGTTATTATGAAGCAATAATGAAATAATATTAGCAAGTTATCTGGCAGATCACTAAATCAAAGCAGTTAATGCTGAGCCCCATACCTACACCATGTGAGATTCAGGGCATTTTATTTTAGGTAGGAGTCTCTGGGCCAGATGTATCCCCCACACACATACATGGCTCAGTGTTGGCCAAAAGACAATTTCATAGACTCCTGGAATAAAACTTTCAGTTTAGTTTCCCCCATCTAAGCCCAGGGCTACATTTCAATCAGCATACAGTAACAGTTATGGGATTTGCTTCGAAATTGCAGGACTGCTCCAAACAAGACACTAATGAAGGCACAACCAGAGTGGCTAGGGTGTGCAATTGTTTGTATTTCAGATAATATCAAAGGGTCATAGATCTTAAAATAGTATTTACAGCCTATTATGTAGAGAGTTTCCAGCCCTTTATATTCTTTTTCATAACATCACATAAGCTTGTAAAGCAACAAATCCCACTTCAGGGGGAAAAACCCTGAAAGAAAACCATAAACCTGCCCTCTGCTCCTGCCCAACCAGCAAAGA